CCAAGACAGATTTGATTGTTCTTTTGGAAGTCCATGGTATCTTCAATATTCCTCACCAGCACCACAATTCAAATTTAAATATATATGAAAAATCATATAGGCAAAAATAAATATATAAAGGAAAAACCTCTTTATATAAAGATGCAATTCCTTTTTCTTTGTACACATATCCCTAATTATTTCCACTAATAATATCTCATCATTTCCACCATTATAACCCAAAGATTTTTTCCATTGAGTAATAGAAATCTCTTTGGGAATTTAGTTGCATATAAAGATTGAGTTCTGAACAGTGGTAATACTTTTTATTATTTTTACCTCCAGTTAGATCTAGTCTTGGCTTGAATCATACTTTTGGATAGGCAGAGAAGGGTGTCAGGATGTTTGTCTAAACGACTCTCTGCATGCATCAGTACACAAACGTATACACAAAGCCAGGACTCTACACTGGGCATTCGACACCCAGGGAGTTTGTTACTTAAAGAGTATAAAAATAATAGTTCATTTTAACCCCCCCTACACACACACACACACACACACACACACACAAACCTCTCGCATTTGTAAGCTTTAGGATAGGAAAGAAGCTGTCCTGAACTCAGCTCTCAGTAGTTCAGAACTATGGGTTTCAATTTGTGACTAAGCTCCAAGTTAAGACAAAATTCTACCTAGATCAGGAAATTGTTATTGAGGCAAAACCAGGTAAGCTGTTCTCCTCATTGGACACAGTTGACACCTCCCTGCCTCTCCTGCAGCCCGGCAGGGCCTGGGTATCTGCCCTTGCTGATTTTGTGTGAGTAGTGATGCGCACCATACCCAGGCGTGGCCCATGCCAATTCTTTCCTCTTGGTCCTCTCGTCCATCAGATCCCAACGGAGTGTTGAAGGGCCGGGCGGCTTCAGAAGCTGTGTGAGCATGGCCGAGCTGCTGGAATCCTGGGCCCCGAATGACGGCACAGAGTGGCGGGGTTTTTCACATTCTGTTTCCACTAACCTGACCCATGTCGGATGTTAGTGAAGGAGAAACCAGGTTATATTGGGTTAAGTTCCTGGTGTTTCGGCTGTTTACTATGATAAAGGACTCATGGTGGCACAATGGGTTAAGCATTGGCTTGCAAGGTTGATGGTTCATACCCACTCCAAGGGAGAAAGAGGAGGCTGTCTGCTCCCACAAGGACTTAGTTTCAGAAAACTATAGAGCAGCTCTACCCTGTCCACTAGGGTCACCACGAGTCCCTAACAGTGAGTTAGGTTTGGTTTTTCTACAGCGAGTCCTGGGGGCACTGCGCTTAACTGCTCAGGGGCTAACTGAAAGACTGGCAGGTGCCGCTCTGTGGGGGAAAGACGTGGCAGTATGCGCTGGACACCCTCTGGGGTGCCTGGTCACCATAAGTGGTTAGACAGCAACACGTCTTGTGCTTTGTTTTTGTTAAAGCAGTCAGCCTACTTAATGGTTACCAAATACGGATGTCGCCATCACCAAAACCTAAAATATGGTGGTCAAAAGGAACGAATACTGGAGGCTAAAAAATGGAGACCTATCTTACTCAGTGGGAACAAAACTGTTGGATAAACTGTTTTTGTGGCAGGTGGGTGGTGGATGGTATGAACCACAAAACTTGTAGGGCAGATTTGCAGGAACTCTGATTCCTAGTTGAACAGGAAAGGAGGGGAAGTTGTGTTGAGCGTTGACTTTTACTCTAAAGCATCACAAGACAGAGGCAAGTTCTAGAAAGCACTGGCTGGTGGTAAGCAGAAAGGAAAAGGAAGAGCCATGCATTCTAGAACCTTGTAGTGGCTTTCCTTCTTGTAGACCCCAGGTCATAAGGACGAAGTTTGAAATAAGCTCAAAATACAGTATAAAGACTGTCCTGTTACAATGGTTAAGGTTTTTCTCTCAACCCTGTTTCAGAGGAGTCCCAGAAGCCTTTGAGAGCCGAAATGAGAGCGGAAAGGAATGAATCAGGCTTGAGAACTTGGGAGGGGGAAAAACGCTGGATGTGGTTACTGGCATCCAGAAAGAATTGGAAGCAAATAGATTAAAAAAAAAAAAAAAAAGTCTACTGTGTCATTGTTTTGCCAGGAAAACGGTAAGCCTTTCCAAGCATTCAAAAATTCCCAAAAAACCCAGGACCCCAAACTTCAGCTCCTAGAAAACTCAGAAAGCCGTGCAAGTTCCAAAGGGCTGACTCAACATCTCCTGGTGGGACGCTGGAAGGTCCTGCTAAAGCACAGAATTCACATCTAAAAGGGAGGTCTTCCAACCTCTTCAGGTCTGCCCGGATCATTCTCATTGCTGGGGCTAATGGCGACGCACTTCGTCTTCCCTTTCCAAGTGGGAGTTTCATTTCGCAGTGATTCTATCCCAAAGGGGCCCTGGTGTCATAACGGTTGCATGTTGGACTGCGAAGCTGAAGGCCAGCGGTTTGAAACCACCGGCTGCTCTGCAGGAGGAAGGCGAGGCTGTCTACTTCTGTGAAGAGTTCCCTTCTGGAAAACCACAGGGGCAGTTCCACTCTGTCCTCTCGGCTCACGTCACCCAAGATGGCAGGGCTTTTGTTATTCTGTGCCAGCTCCAACACAGGGAGAGCGGATAGGCTAGTTCAGTGTACCAACCACACAGTCGTGGAGGACTGCCCGACTTGGTGCCTTCAGCCTGGGAAAAGCACAGCTATGGCCTGTGCCGTGGGAGGTGAAGTTGTTACTGCTAGGTGACCGACCACCAGGCGACCCAGGTTGATCCCACTTCAGACTCCTTTGCAATCTGGTGTGGCCTGATGACTGAGTTCCAGCCAATGACACACAGGTGAAGGTGATGCTCAGCACTCAGTTCCCTGGGATGTCAGGCAGACGCTACCATCCACAGTAATCTTGGAAGTGCACATGGAGGAGGGCAGAGCCACGGCTCCTGAGGCAGAGCCTTCCTGCCATGATCAGACTTGTTACAATGTGTGATCCAACCATAAGAAGTTCCATTCAGCTTTCTCAAATCCTTTAAGTGACAGGACACGAGCCGACATCTACTGAGTACGTTCCAGGCCCAATTCTGAGCACCCTACACGTAGCACACATTTAACCCTTAAACTAGCCTGGCCGTTTTACAGGTGAAGAAACGGGCACCGAAAGGCAAGTTACCAGGAGTCACACAGCCAAGAAGGAACACAGCTGACACGGGAAATCTAAGCACCATGGCTCTCGCGTGAGGCCAGCACACCTCATTTCACTGTGCTTTTCACAAAGGGAAGGTACGTGGCAACCAAGGTTACTGGCTCTATTTTTTTTTTGGCGGGGTGGGCTGTTGGTCATTCTCATGAGAGACTTGGTGTAAACATAACTTTCACATGCACCAGGAAACGAAAACAAGCAAAGCAAAAATTCGCTTTATTGCCCTAAGAGCTGTTTCAGCAACCTGGCTTTGATCCGGCCATCTCTGGGGTACGCGCCTGCAGTTCTAACCATGACCTACCACAGGGTACTGTTACAGTGCACCCCCTGTACAGCAGTTACCTAACGCACCGTTGACATCAGCTGCTAGAGCAGCTAGAACGTTTCCAAAGGTATTTGGCCTATCATCTCCTTTTCAGAAGGGGGGCAAAATTGGCCCCCCCCTCACCCAAATGAAAAGCTTTTGTACTGTAGCTCATAATCCAAAGATAAGTGTTAAATATCTGCTTTGGCAATACTCCCTCCCCCACCACTTCATTCCAGCGACCCCCAGGGGGGCGGTATCGCCCACTTTGGGAAACGGATTCTAGAAGTTACTTCCACGCCACTAACTGTCGTTTTCCCCCGGGACTCAGGCTCGTGTCACATGACCGGACCTAGGTATGTTATGTAAAGGGGCAGGGAAGTAGTGACAAGACAAGCGATCACCTGGGCTGAAAATAAATTGAGCTAACAAAAGTTGTAAGGTAAAAACTTTATTGTCTTAAATAGCAAAGGTTTACACATCGTTTTTCTTCTCAAAGTTCCTATTTAAAAAAGAAAGAGTGTCTTGATTATTTAGGGCTGACTTACAGTTCAGAGTTTGACAAAAAACTCATAAAGCGCAGCTACAACCCACTCGGCTACCGACAAGACCCGTGTCCAGCCGCTACAGCAACAGCACAGTGCGCCTGACCCTGGCCTCCGGAGTCTGATTCCCTCAAGTGCTCCGAGTCTCCACACTCTCACAACCAGGGCATCATGGAAGTGCCTGAGCTGCTCGCAAGCTCTCTGGCCAGTTTGCCCAGCACTTCCAAGATGGGGTCATCTCAAAGCTGAAAAGCCCGGAAAATCTTGCTCGACACCAATCATTGCAAGAACAAAGTAAGATGGAAAATAGAAGAGCTTCTAGTTGTTAACATTTGCCAGACAATAGCTATAAAACTGGTAAAGCTTGCTTGCTTAAGGGTAAATAAAGGCCGCCAGCACTACCTGCCATGAAGACAACAGCAACAAGCAGCTCCATCTCCATCCTGGATGCACAGTGAAAAAGGGCAGCCACATCAGGCCGTTCGAGAAGGCCGAGTGGCGGGGACCAGACAGAAACCTAGTCGTTCGGCTGGGAGGTCTGAAGGACAGGCAGCATAAACGCAGACTGCTGAGGCTTTCCGGGAAGGAAGATGAAGCCTGGTCGGCAGCAGGTACTCTCCGGACAGAAGGAATTGAAAGACAAACGGTCTGTTGTGAACACAGGCCCACCTTTCTTGAGGCCATAGATGCATTTGTTCAAGGTTGCAGGTACAACAGTCTTGTAAACAAAGGAATTCCCATCAGAGATGCACTTTTCCAGGAAAATCTCTCTCAATGAAACCTATCCCAAGGTTAAACGACAGTTTACGGTTTTGGATAAATGAAATATTTTTAAATGTCCGTGCCCTTGAACCATTTTCTCTTCGTGGAGTTCATGAAGATGGCTGTAGCCTCTCACCTTCCACAGCCTGAGGGTCACGTTAGCAAGCACCAATCTGCAATGGGCAACAGCTTTCCACTGTCAACCTCGAAAGCCACTAGCACTGAAGCTGCAGAAATTCTACCTGCAGGTCTCAGGATCACAACACAGCACACATCTTGGTTCTGTAGAACTCAACAGCGCCTTGAATCTTCTTGCCATTCAGCTCTGCTGACAGTTCAGTCAGGAACAGAACGTCCCACACGCCCTTGTCCACCGTGCACTTGGCTGCTTTGCAGGTACGTCCTCCAGAATGGCCGGGCGTTATTCCAAGTGTCAGTACCCAGAGCAGTTGTAGTGGGGTGGGGGTGGGGGGAGCGGCTGCAGCCCCGCTCGGCCGGCCCAGTGGAGGGAAAGCTTGGCGGGTTCTCACTGATGTGTACCGAGGGTCAGCAGCCATCACTCCCGAGCTTCCGCCATCCTGCTTGCAGCTCCCCTGGCACCGTCAATTTACACCCCATACTGGCTCTCCACAGGTGTGGCTACAAGTGTTAGAATTTGTGATTCCCAGCTGGAGTCAGCTTTTCCCAATCTGTTCTGAACTTAAAACATCATGCTAGCATGACTTTTAAAAACCTGGCAGATAGGCCCAAATAGACCATGGTCTTAAAAGTTAAAACTTGTTTCCTGTCGCCCTACTAGACAGAGATCGTGATGAGGGCAGGGTTTCAATCTGTCTTAGTCACCTGTAACCCTAGTGTTCACCGTGCCTGGCAAACAGGCACTTCACGTCTGATGAAGAAATCGGACACTAGTAGATTCTCGTTCACTCATATTGCATAGGGTTCTGAGGGTCAGTTTCCTCTTCAAGTAAGTTTTTGACCCATTTTACCTCCCTTGGTTTTTAGAACATTGACAGCTCAACACAAAACCTAGTAAACATTTAGGATCAATTTTTGGTATGCTTGAGGCACAAATCCAGATACTGCTTCTAGTTAAGGAAGTCTAGTGATTCCGTGTAGTGCTATTCAGAATCTGCTTCATCGAGGTGAGTCTTAGGGTCACTTTATGCGTGTGTACCCCCCCCTCCCCAAACTTGATGCAGCTATTTGGTGAAAGGCACACACACAAAAAACCCTATTAACTACACCACAGGTTCACACCTGAACCTAGTAACCTACTGAGGGGATCACTAAAACAGAGCGTGCCATGATTTCACATTTCCAACCACTTAAGAACTGGACTGTTAAGAACAGGCATGTCTAGTTCTCTCAGAGAAAGGGTCTTGTAACAGGAATGCCTCACTAAAAGGTGACACTCACTTGCTAGGAGGGGAAACTCGGCCACAAACTGCACTAAGCCACTAACACAAAGGAGAAGTTTGGCTTTTTGGTGAGTATGCTGGCTGGAGGTTGGAAGGAGGCCCAGCTTGGTGAGCTTCCATCAGCTAGGATTCCAAGTCCCACGCAGGTAACAGGTCAGGGACTCCTGCATCACCTTACTGCACGTGTGACAGAGATCAGAGTTCACTTCCATTTTCCCAGGCAGGTTTTTGCAAAGCTGTTCTTGCCTAGGGTAGGATACAACCCCCAGAGGTGTCAAGTGCACCTGCAAACATAGTGTTTCCATCTGTTAAAGTACTGGCAGGACGGACACACACACACACACACACACACGAAAAGCTGAACCATGTTTGATGGCTTCCATTAGCTAGAGTGCTGTGGTAAAGGGCTTACAGAAGACTCCACTTTAACCAGCTAACACACAGAGACAAGCATATCCGGTCTCATCATCTTTCCATTTCCATGCAAACCTCTTGCTAGAGAAACGCCAAGGGGGGAAAACCCAGGGTTGTGGAGTCCTTTAGAATGCAGGGAGGTAGGGCGCTCCTCCTGGTTTCCTTTGCTACACAATGAATTATGTTAATGACCAAAAGCCCAAACTATGGGATCAAGGGCTGCTGTCCAGGCCTAAACCAACTGGAAATAATGACTTGCTTCAGGGGCAAAATCGACATAGGTATACCGGTCCAGATGCTGAGCACGTCTCGATAAACCGGAACTCAAGGGAAATGGTGGAGTTGTACAGAAGGCCCTGCTCTCTGTGATACGCAGAGACCACCCTCGGACGTGAGCGCTGACCGCATTCCATTACTGGTTAGTGACAGGCACTGTGCAGTAAAGCCATCCACTGCTGGTATGGTTGCTCAATACTGTCTGCCAGCAGATGAGTTCACAATGATTAGATCTTATTCTTAGGAGATAATCTATCATTTCTTTACTTTTAGACTTCTTAAAGGTGTGAAGACATTGCATATAATTGACAAATGAGGATTCACTAGCATCCTGTCCCATGAATAATACCCTATGCATTCTAGAATTGCTAAAATTCATGAGCAACAATGTCAACAGCTTTATTTTCATACAAATGACAGGCAGCAAGTAAAATTCAAAAGCAAATGTTGGGGGGGGGGCAAAAACTGACAAGGACATTTGTCATTCAAAGCCATTCAAAGTATTTCTAGCAATACGTGTAAACCTACAGGCCTATTAAATTTTCTCTTAAAAAAAACTATGTGCCCATACATTTAAAAGCCATCAGAATGAACCTTTTTTAGACTGACAATCTGCTTGGGATGTGGGATCTTTCCCAGAACTCGTTTAAACCCCATGGCCCTGTACTGATGAGCAGAACCCCCAATTTTCCCCTGCTCACACAGAATACAAGACCGTGGTGACCCAGGTCTTTTTAGAGGAACCTACTGTGATTGACAGGTTCCCTCATATCACACGAAACCCAAGATCTGTAAGCTTAGACTTAATTCCCAAACCATCATCCACATAAAGCAAACGGAGCCGCCCAAGATAGCTACTAGATTGTTCCAATCATAGCACCAACCTCTTAATTACAACCACAGCTCTTAAGAACTGACAAGAATCTTAGTTTCCTGGTGCACATTACATCTTTGGTGTTGGGCAGACAAAATCTACAATGAGATTGTCTAAAAGGACATTTTAAAGACAATCTGGTGAACCTGTCGTGTACGAGATGGCTCCATGACCGTTTCCTAACTGCAGAAAGGACCAGGAGGTGCCGATGTGGCGCCCCACATCCCTGTGTGGAATAACACAAACACACATCCGAGCAACAAGGCAGGCAGGCGCAGGCCCAAAGGTAGAAGAGACTGGTCTCAGTGATGCCAAAGGAAGACCTGAGACCTTCATGAACTCCTGGGGTCTGAACCTTCCGTTTGTGCTGACTTGACCTTGGGTGGGAAGAGTTAAATTTTAGACAAAATTACTCAATACAAGGTTGATAGGTCATCCACCCTTTCAAACACATTGCTGATTATAAGCCAGAATCAAGAATTCTCAGTCTCAAAATGCTTTCGATAAAACCAAGATTTCAGATTCCTGCTAGGCAGTGAACGAAATGTGTTATTCTCTAGGAAAGATGGATCTGAAAATCTGTCCAGTAGGCTTATTGCACAGTGGGGCCTATGGGACAATGGGTTCCACGGGCTAGTCCTCATATGAAAGGCCACAAGAAATATATTTACATGCTACCCCCCACGCTTAACTCTACATGCTAGAAACAAATAAGATGAACTTGCTTAAAAATGACACTCCTGCGGAGAGAAATGATGGAAACCTCAAACAAGGCCACTTGGGTCCGAAACTACAATATTTCCATCTCCATGAAGGACACTCACCAAAAAGACAGCCCGTTCCAAGCACCAGGATGCACCAGGAACAAGGTTCACACACGTCAACATTTCACTCAGTCCTTGGCTCAAAAGTGAGCTTTAAGGACTTCTTACAGTAAAAGAGGCTTTTGAAAGAGAAATGAAGTGGTGCTCACCAACCATTCAGTGAACATAAAGTGGACAAATCAATCGTTAAGGGTTGAGGGGTGATCCCGGAGACGCTAGCAAGCCCAATCGCTAGTAGATTCTAGGGTTGAAGCTGTTAGTTTTTAATCCCAGTTTTTGAAACCTCACCAGGACATTTGCAAATGTAAACAGGAGTTTGTTTTTCTTCTAAAATCTGGGTAGCACCTTGTTTCCCCCCAGCACCCCACCCGCTGTATTTGGCAACCCATGCAGTCGCCTGCAATGCACACAGTAGCCCGCGTTTGAAACCCTCCCACTCAACCTTGTTAACATGTCAAAACCCTGAAGCACACACATACAAAAATACCACTCTAGGAGATATTATTAAATTATTCTTCAATTTCCTGTTACAATTGATGAATCATAATACACAGAGCACTGGGTATAATTCCAAACACCAAACTATGTGGTCGACAGTTTGTATGTAACCTGACCATAGAGTCCCCAGCCGTCCCCAGCCTGCAGCCCACACACAGTCATAGTGCTAAGCTGACCTATTCTGAGTCACACGGGTGCTGCTGAGGTTTCTCATGGCTCCTGCTTTTCAAAGCGTTCACTCGGAAAATGGGATGCTATACACAAAGCCATCGATTTTTATTCCAGAATACATTATCTAAATGAGAATAAAATGCTCTTGAATGCACATACTGCCAACACATTTTAAAAGGCCTAAGTTTTAACAAGTAGAATAGACAAATTTATCAGACAAGAGATCATAAATTACTTTGGCCAAAAAAAATGTTCAAAAAAAAATCTGGCTCAACATTCTGCTGGCAGGTTTTTACCTATGCTGTATACGCGAGTGTGTTGTGTGTGTGTAGCCTTCTCGAAGGGAATGGAGTATGGGCTAGCTCACTTTCCACGGTTAAGTAGGAACGACAATGTTCTTTGCCAGCAAAACAAGAAGAGCAAGGTCTGCATTTCCATCGACTCGATGCAAAGCCCCAAGAGCTTCCTGCAAAGTAAAGCCAGCCCTGAGAATCCGGTCAATGTCTGCAGCAGGAAAAGTCAAGGGTGGAAGAAAGGAGGGACTCGATGGGAGGCTGGCAGATGGCTCAAGCTCCAGGAAGGGGCTGGCAGCTTCAGGACAGACATTTTCTCTGGCTTCAGGCCTGTCAGTCACTGGATTCTGTATGCCCTGACCTAAATCCCTAGCCAACAGGAAACGGAGTGGCAAGGATTTCATCTGCTCAGCAGAAGTCTGACGGCGTGCATCCTCCTCACCTGCTAAAAGCGGGGGTGACATTTCTGCACCTGTGGTGCAGGGCAGTTGATTAGACGTTTCTGCTGAGGCCGTAGGGGCAGAACTGCTCTCGTGGGTGGATTCGCTAGACTTGGGGACAGCTTCTGTGTCAGCTGGCATGCCATCATCACCTGGACCTCTGAAGTTCCCATTTTCTACACCCTCTATTCCTGGGGCAGGTAAAGGGTCTTTGATTTCCTCTGCATTCACTGGTACAGGCACAGTCTGCTGATAGCCCGAGACTTGCAGATGCTGCTTTTCCTGGCTAGCTGGAAGAGGCTTGCTTTGGGTCCATCTTTCAGAAAGGTCTTCGGTCTCTGCTTGGATCACGGCTCCTGTTTCAGACTGGCAAAAAACTTCTTCAGGTGGATTTTCTGAGGCTGGGTCAGTACTAATGACCAAAAGTTCATGAAGCTCCTTCAGAGCTGTCGTTACCGATGAGTATGGCTCCTCGGTGGGCCCCACAGAGGACTGACAACTGCCACAAAGACTGAAAGAGGAGAAGCTATGGCCACATTCTTTACGGACCCTGGACATTTCGACACTGTTTTCTGGGAGCTGTAAATCCTGAGTGGAAATAGAATTCGATAAAATTTCAGATGAATGGTTATATTTTGCTGTTTCTATTTCCATTAAGGGACTATCCAGGGTGAGGTCAGGTGTGCCGACATTCTCGACATCGGCATTTTGCCTGCCTGCTGAATTAAACACAGCAACTAGGGATTGTTCAACCACATCTACTTCCATAAGTGTTTCTGAATTTGAGCAGCCAAAGCACTCTGAAGGTAGAGTATTTTTCTGTGTGCCAAGGTCCACCACATTCAGCTGTAGCCTGCCCCCTTTTGTCTCAGCTTCTGAAGCCACACATTTTTGTTGGTTCTGTTGCCCTTCTCCAAGGATTTCAGGCCCCTCTGGGTTAGAGAGACGTTGTTCTAGCTCATGTAGAACATTCTGGTATACAGCCTCATGCTGTGCATTCCCTGGTTCTTCTTCATGCTCCTGAAGGTCGTTCACTTGACTCAGATGCTGATGTTCTGGATGCCAACCCCTTTCAAGGAGAAATGCTTGTGGGTCGTGCCTCCGAGCAGTTGTGACAGACGGACTACTTTCCTGTCTTGCACAGAGGTGAAATTTGAGGCCCTGGGTGCTTGTTTCAGCAGGAGAGTTTTTGAGAGTATCTGCAACAATGGCTTCTTCTGATGACTTCTGCGAAGGCATAGTCGGGCTCTGGCCTGCAGGGGCACTATCTGCTGAAGAAGCATGATCAGAAGGAACCTGTCGAGGAGGAAGATGTTCTCTTTTTTCAGAGGTTATCTGGAACTCAGCCGAAGCCTTCACAGCTCTGGTAGCTTTAGGTTCAAGGCTCTCAGGGTCACTGGGCTTTATAGGGACACAGTGAGCAAGACCCGCATGATTACCCATGTCAGGACTCTGTCCTGAAGGATGGGCTAGATGGTCACATCCACCCGAAGCTGGTAACGATGGCAGTCCCAGTGAGGTAGCTGCTTCACTGCTTTTCTCTGCATAGAACAAAAGGACAAGGACAAAGGCTCATTGGCAAGTAACAAAGATCACTGACTCGTCAGAGGACACACATCTAGACAGGACAGAAAAGCCCAGGCCCTTACTCTCAGATTTCTTTTAGACTGAAAATACAAGACCCAGCGTCACTGTGGTGGGCAGTTTAAGAGCAGTGCAGCAGAATCTAAAAGAGATGTGCTCTTCCTGTAACCAATGGCATGGCTGGGCTGGCGCTCAGGACGGAAGAACTTTACTGCATCGTTACTCCCAGCGTGCCTCTGCCCTCTAGAACAGAGCTGCTCTAAGTGTGCTCCCCACACTACGTGTCCTGCAAACACCTGTGATGCTGGTGAAGCGTGCAGACTCTGGGGCACCATCCTTGGGGAGAGAACCAGGAATTTACATTTTTAATAAGCACATTACAAGTCTTGAAAATCTATGTACCAGAAGGATTATTCTCAGGACAATGCACTGTTCCCATTTGAAATGGGAACATGGAGGCTGTGAGTGAGTAATCTACAGCCAGGCACACTGGGACAGAGCAGGAATTACAGAGAGACCGTCAGAACACAGATGCAAATATTTGAGCTCTTTATTTCCAGCCTGGTTCCCTGAGAACCATGGCATAATTGTGTTAAGCACCTGATTCGGAAAACAAAATAAAGCTAAATATCAAACAGATTAAATCTCAATCATCCTACCAAATACTACTAAAGATTAGCAGCCCCTCTATCACATTAACACAGCACAGGAGGTGGCTCCGTTTTTCAAGCAGGCGATGACTAACTAGATCCACTGCAACTTATGGACCACTCACACGAGATGGCAGCCGTACAGCCCAGGGCAGTGTGCATCTCATAATGCTGCCCTTAAACATCTGTTTCACTGCCACCTCCCACGGGTTCACTTAGAAAGCGCCCTCTGTGACTACGATAAGATCTTGAATTAAAAGCCAAGTTTGCTAACAAAAATGACTCTACAATACAATACAATCTATTAGGGCAGACGCAACTCAGAGGCTTCCTGCCATGAAGCACTGCAGTTCCCACGCAAAGGGCTCTGATCTCGTCAACACAGGGGACAGACGGAATCTGCACGTCACAAAGTTACTGCGGTCGTGTGAAATCATCTCACCTCAGTTTCATGGTAACCAGCAAAACAGCGTTTATCTCATGTTAAACTATGTCCATGAAAGTCTAGAAACACGGTTACTTTATTTACTGGTCTCTGAATCTGACTCTCATTGGGCCTGGTGACACAGTGCTTATGCCTTGGCTGTGATCCAAAAGGTCGCCAGGCTGAAAGCCCAACTGCTCCTGGGGACAACGATGGGGCTTTCTACTCCCATAAAGAATTACAGTCTCTGACACACACAGGCAGTTCTGCCCTGTTCTGCAGGGTCACCGCTATGAGTCAGGATGGACTCAATGGTGGTGAAAAAGCTGGCTGTGAAAGAGGTTTAAGTGTGAGCTAATACTATGAGGGGAAACTGCGTCAGGGGAACTATGTGTGCGACAACACAGAGGAGGGGCTCACTAACGGCCTCCTGGCGCTAGTCTGTCTCTCTAAGAGGCCAACAGAGGCCAGGGTGCCAAGCCTCGGTGGATTTTGTGCTCACAATGAAAGCATCATGAAGGCCCTGTCATTGAGTTGGCCAGCTGCCCTAGCCTACTCCCAAGGGTAGGGAAGGACTGGGTGTTCCGGAATGAGAGGAAAGGATGAGGACAATGGATATGAAGAATTACACCATGCCTGCTTTGATCCTGTCCTTCTAAGAAAAGAAAAAAAGTAAATGCTATGGATCTGATTACAACCAGCCTGCAGACCCCTACGGTTGGAGGCTGATCCTTAGAGGGCTGGTTTTCCTCGTCTCTCGACCCACCAGCCAGTAAACACCAGCTGGCAGTTACTGTAATTTAACCACAGGGAAATAGAAGCTAAGGGTCTTCCGAGTCAAATCTGTCAGGCCAGAGAGAGAGGGAAAGGCAGGGTCTCAGCTCGTGTGCTAGGGAAAAGTAAGCAGAAGTCCTGCCTGTGCCAAGGACAAACCTTTGTGGCCTCAAGGAGTCACTGGACCTGCGTTCGCTTCTCCTTGAAAAGGAGAATTTCTGCTCCTCTAGAGCTCCCCAAAGCTGTGTGTAATCACGAGCAGTGGTTCTCAACCTTCCTAATGCTGTGACCCTTTCATACAGTTCCTCATGTTGTGATGGCCCCCCAACCATCACATTATTTTGTTGCAGCTTCATCATGTAATTTTGCTACTGTTATGAACTGGGCGACCCCTGTGAAAGGGTTGTTCGACCCCCAAAGGGGTCTTGACCCACAAGTTGAGAGCTGCTGACGTAGAGGACAGAGAAAACTTAGTTTTCTAGGAAAACAAAAGGGGGGACTTGTAAAATCTACCAGGAGTGCAGTATCACCAACCACCAAGGGCTATGAAGCTGACGGTCGCCATTTGACAGTCACCCTGGCCAGACCTGGCAGGTATTATTAACAGACACAGCTTTTACTATCTGCCCTGGCACCCCGTGGACTGTTCTGCTCATTCACTGGTAATATTTTAACAGAAGCGGCGATGGAGTATGTATGTATGTCAACATACAAACATATACAGGCTAATTGTAACCAGATTAAGCAAGGTAAAACGGTGACCGCCAGAGCTGAGCCCCCGAAGTGCTGCATGTACAGACTTTCAGAGCACAGGTGATGGCTGGATGGAAGCGGGACAGAGTGCTATAAATACCTGGTCTGGGGCCCACTCCAGCTGCAGTACACACACACTACATGCATCATGGCTTCTGACGCTCTGTTTGAATTAGGAAACAGACAAGCAAACTTGGGTTAACAGTGCAAACCACACAGCATGCAGGGTTATAATCTCCATTTCTCTGCCATCTTTGAAATCAGGAACTGGTAGGATCCAAGTGGGGGACTGTTTCGTAGACTGGCTGGATGCTTCCATTTTCTTACATTACATAAAACAGTGCGGGCAACTTCCACACATTTCCATAGAACTTGGAAAGAAATGAATTAGATGCACACCCACACATAGAAAATTCACAGGTAAACATGTGAGTCAGGTGAAAAAGCAACACTAGTAGATTAGGCTGAATTCTTACTGGCTAACGGTGAGTAAACAATATGGATGCTCATTCATCAAATCCCCCTTTTTTCATGTATTTCTAGAAGCAAACACACCAAACTTGATGGAATTCTACCTTTTAATCCACTTTGAGAAAATAGCTGTGTATCAGATATAGTTCCTTTCCTGCATTATTTTTCAACTGACAGAAAAGATGGAGATATTTTGGTGGAAGGTTACCTACCAGGAAAACCACTTTTAGCAAATTACTTTTAACATTTGAATATGTACAGGGTTTTGAATTAGTAATACTAGATGCCAATGTTCCAAACAAATGGGCTGTTTCTAAGCTGTTTCGCCATTTAAATATCTGTAAAAATCAGCACACACTACTATATTACCACTAACAAAGGGTCAAATGGGCAAAAAGACACTTCTCTTTAAAACTGCCATACTCCCTTCACTGAGCTGATATCTACTTTAACCTTTTAGATTTTTATTTTAAAAAGGTAACTATCCAAGTGTGTAACTATTAGTAGATTAGAAAACGTTATTATCAAACTAATGTTTCTTTTAAAAAAAAGTTAAGATTGCAGAGGAAAAAAAATAGAATTCCACAAGATGGTGTTATACCCTCACTTTATTAACACACAGTATAATGACTAAAATGACAAACTAAAAAAAAAAAAGACAAAATCTTCTAAGTAGCATTTTCAAACTCATTCAAGCTTACCTTGTTAGTTACTAAATTATTAATCTCTCCCTGTCTGGTTGTTTGCCATTCTCCTCTTACTACAGAATACTCTTTAAGTATTATGTATGTAAAATTTGAGCCAAGGTGTGGTAGATTAGAATTCTGAATGAGACCGCCTTAGAAATTTCCATCTGTCCTACTACAACCACCTAAAGAGGCTCAAGGGCAGATGCCCTTCATTGACAAAGATGCAAAATCTGCAGCTCATTTTAAGGTTTCCCTCTCTGTTGAACACTGTAGTTTGGGTAGAAGTTTACAGAACAAATTAGTTCCCCATCCAACAATTTGCACGTTTTGTTTCGAGACATCAACTGAAACCCCCTCATTAGAACAGCACTTTTCCCACTTGCTCCCTGGTTTCTGTTTCCATTCACCCATCTTTTCAGTCCCTTCCAGACTCTCACAGTTGGCTGTTCTGAGAAGCATACTCCTCATGGAAACTACTGTTCTCTTTGCAACCCTGTGCACTGGTTGGTGGAAAGGCAATCTCTGGGAGTGGGATTAGTTCCAGGTTTGTAGGGTGTCTAACAGTTTCTGTCAGAAACTTAGTTAAGTCTGGTCCTTTTTATGGTTTTGAATTTTGTTCAGCATTTCCCGGACTCTGCCCAGGGCCGTCTACTGTGATCTCAATTAGAGCAGCCAGTAGTGGGCACCATCAGACACCACCTAGTTCTCGTCTTAGGCTAGCAGATGATGTGTTTCTCTTTTGTCTTTAGGAAAAAGGCCAAATACATCTTACTGTCCCAGAAACATCAGCGTGTTATTAGTCATACTGATGAATAATTTCAGCTCCAGACTTGTTAATTCTTTTTAGTTTCTATAAAATTGCATCCCAGATCACTGATCTATCACAGATGGGAAGGATATGGTTCATGGAGGCAGGATTTCAGCAAAACTGTGTTATCCATTTTACCTAGAAAACTTAACTCAGCCTTTGGATGTGCTACAATAGAGACTTAGAAAAACACATAGGCAGCTTGATTGCCACTGTGTATATCGCTTTAATCAGGCCAAGTGGCATCCTGTGAACAAGCAGAGCATGAATACTGCACTGCCTTTGGTGGCGGTCCTTTCAGTACATATTGAAGGGGTAAGGTCTTCTCAGACCCAGGGACAATACTATCCTTCCAAATAAACCGGCCAAGGGAAGGAACCCCGGTGGCTTACCTTTGGGTAAGCGTCAAGAGTGCTAATCACAAGGCCAGTGGTTCAAACCCACCAGCGGCTGCTCTTCAGGAGAAATATGAGGCTGTCTGCTCTTGCAAAGATTTATAAAGCCTCAGAAACCGTCTAATAAGGTCACTATGAGTTGAAATTGACTCAATGGCGGTGGGTTTGGTTTTGATTTTAAGGGAAGGAAAGGAACTTTCAAGGAAATACTGCTAAATAAAAAAGAAGTTACCGGTTACTACTACCACTGTCTTTAGGAAGCCCACAAAAAGGACCTAACCAAGTAACCCCCAGCCTATCTTGCCCACGGCAACAGATCATTGTTTATCTGCTTGAAGATTGAAGCTGGGAGAAGGAGGTTAGAGGACAAACAAAGCCACATCTACTGCACAATGAGACTAATGATGAGCCATAATGGTCACTATCCTCTTCGGAAACTCACCCTTTCCTCCCTGGCTCACCCACCAATTACCTGGGAAACACTCAAAAGCTCGACCTTCCTATATACCTGCATCCTCTACGGATTTTTGGAGGGCTTCTGCTAATTCTTGGTCTGCAATCTCCTCTGGCCGCAGGTCTTCTCGCCCGGTCCCATATGCCAACCTGGCACACTCTGGCAGCTCTCCCTCGGGAAGGAAGGTGGTCTGGGAGCCTGTGGTGCCGATCACCAGGACATTTTTCTTGAGGTCAATGGAACACTTGGAAGGAAGAAACCAAAGGAGGGTAAACTCCTTGCAGAAAAATTTTATCCTGAATTTAAAAGTGCATTTGCAAAGAACAAACCTATAGGGACATATATGGTTCTGAAAACATCTACTTTAGCAGGTTTAAAAAAAAAAATTTCAGAGTTTATCGTAGAATAAGCTTTTCAGGATTATAGCTTACATTTATTTGTCTTTAACACAACCTCTGTTTATTTCTGATTACAGATGTAACGCATATTCATTGTACGACATCTGGAAAAACAACAAGCATAATCAGCGGCCCCACCTTTTAGAAACATACAAATGACTTCTTACAAAATCGAGACCGTAATACTTACATCATTTCACTTGTATAAAGTACAGTTTATTTAAAAACATTGTATCAGATACTCTTTATAAGACTGATCTTTTTTGGGACCAAACTGCTAACAAACAGCAGCAACTCGAAAGATGAGAACAGAAACCTAGGGGGCAGATGGGTGTATGTAAAGTGGAGTGACAATTCAAAAAGGGAGTGGACGAATGGCTACACTGCTCTGTAGGGTTTTTGTGGTTGTCAATCTTCAGGGGGAAGCAGACTGCCTCATCTTTCTCCCAGACTGGCTAGTGGTCTTGACCTCTAGCAGTGTAGAGCCTAACTCAATGCAACAGGAGGATTCATTTTAAAGTATGCTAATGACATAAAATATTAATTATAGATATGAAATCCTGCAGTAAAAGTTGATTACCCACTGGACACTAATTGCTTCTTCAATAAGGGGTGTGTCTTACAACAAATGATTAACTTTCAGAATAGAAAACAAGAGGCTGCAAAAAGTTTGGGAGTGGGGGGGATCTCCCCTGTATTTTTAAGTTCACATTTACAAACTGTTCTCCCTATTACTAAAGAACCAGAAGAAAGACGAGGCTTGTCTGTACTCACATTAGTCTTAGAAACCGAGAGAAAGTTGCTATGGGTTGGGAGCAACTCAGTGGCAGTGGGACCGGCGTTTGGTTTGGTACAAGTGATACAAAGCCCTGGAAGCACAGCGGGCTAAGAACTTGGCCGAGAACTGTAAGGTGGGCGGTTTGAGCCCACCAGGCCTTCTGTGGAAGAGGAGGCAGTCTGCTTCCTCATAGATTTGTATGTCCAGAAAGTCTATGGAGCAGTTACTTCTACGAGGGCGCTTATGAGCTGAAATGGATTCAATGGCAGTGTGTGTGTGTTTCTGACTTGGAACGAAATAAGCATTGTCACTCCCAATCATAAGCACGCCTTCCTTAATCTTGAAGGCCTTCCATCCAAAGATGACGCCCATCCTCTAAGAATCACTGAGGAGTTACTAAAATTACGCTTGCAGGAAAAATCACCATTGTGCCTGCAAATCTAAAATTTACAAAAGGGCACCAAATTGTTCGCTGTGCTCTCAACAGAGGTTGGGTTTAATAAATTCACAGGGAGGTTGTACAAAAACAGAGACTACTTCTATTGACACAGGATTCCAATTCTTGAATACTACCGCTAGGATTTGTCCATGTGTGAAGCCATGCTTCTTCTAGCTCCAGTGCACAGAACAAACAGAAATGACACGACGACAACCACAGAAAACTACACCCTCAGCCAGTGAGTGGATTCCAACTCAGCGACCCTACAGGGCAGAGGAGAACGACCCCACAAGGTTTCTGAGGCTAGAAACCTTTAAGAATTAAATAAACTCATCTTTCTCTCACAGAGCACAGTGGCTGGTCAGTTAAACTGCTGGCTTCCAGGTAGCAAGCAAAAGCTGAATCCACTGTGCTACCAAGGATCATTGTCAGCAGTCAGAAGACATAAAAAACCAGATGCAAAAAAAAAAAAAAAACAGATGCAAAAAGAAAGCAAAGTGAAAAAGAGAAAAATGGATAGAATAAATATGACAATACTAAAAAAAATTACAGTCCTTAGTTACCTGATGTCGTTTAAGCATATCCAGGCCCAGAAGCATGTCCATGGGCTGTTCCTCAAGTATAGAGAATGAACACGCCAGGAAATCACCTTCGATCTGAACCTGAGCTGAAGCACAGGAAGAAGAGGTTACTGATCTTTCACCCAAGATCCCACAAGGAACGCTCTGAAAATCTGTCATCTGTGCTTCCCTGCCCGCCACCAGTCAAAACCAAGGCAGAGAGTGCAAACAAGCAGGAAAATCCGTTAGGCCCAAGGACACGTCTATGAGCCAATGAGGGTACTGGCTCAGAAAGTGGATCCTGAAGAACAACTATGCAGAATGCTGGTCTGACACACGGTACTGTAAGGACATGTGCTCACTTAGCGAGGGAAGCAGCCATTAAAGGATTAAACAAAGCAAAAGACGTAGTCTTCCAATATTAACCCCTTATTTCTTATACACTTACAAAAGGTTTACTAAAAGAGAAATTATATCTGCAAACCTTGAATCTTTCAATTAAACTTCAAAAAGAAAACTTTATTATCATTGGCTTTAATCAAATTTCTATTTGCTAAATGAGGGACAAGATGTGGGTTTGCCTAGGACCTCAATCTTACCTGTTCTGCAAATTTTACAGATTTGGATTTTAAGAATTACCTTGACTTGTTTTAAAGGCCACCTTTTGAAAAGAACATAGGAGTGTTATTATGCTTTGCGTGCAGCGTAAACAAGCACCCGTGTGTCCGTGTCCTGGGTTAGAGAAAGAAAACCCTGACTTACATACTAATCCCCTGAATGTTCTACTGACTGCAGCCTAGTCTCTGGACCTCCTCAATCACCACGACTTCCAGCTTTATAGAAACGTTTTCCCTACTTCCCATGTATTTGTAAATAAGACGTGCTTAGTTAAATTTGCATTTCTGAATCTGCTTTTATGAGAAAAAAAAGGGGGGTGGGTGAGGGGGATATATCTCTGTAGATGTATGTGACTGCGTGTATTTCATGTTAACTCATCCCTTAGAATATCATGTCTGACATACAATTTATCTATCCATCCTACTACCACTGGACTTTTGGGTTGCTCCTAGTTTATGCTACCTCAAGCAACATTACCACAAACACCCCTATATACGTCTGCTGGTGTCTCATGCCAATTTCTCTATAGTATATTCCAGAGGCAAATCACCGAGGAGTAGGTATATTTTGCTCAACGTTGCTGAGTGACGTTGAATATCCTCCAAAATGTTGCCAGAAACGTATGAAAGCAACATCATGCTGGATGGAGAAAAGATGGAGTTGTCAAGGGTTTCACTAATTTGGAGTCACAAGCGACGCTCAAGGGATCAGCAGCCAAGGACTCAATGATGCTTTGCAATGGCAAACACGTTCCCTACGACTTCTTCACAGTGCTAAAAAGCAAAGATGTTACTTTAAGGCCTACTGTGTGTCTGACTTAAGCCATTATGCTTTCATACACTTGGAAAAGCTGGACAACGAAGAAAAAAGACTGGAGGCGAATTGATACATTTCAATTATGGTACTGGTGAAGAATACTGAAAGTACATACTGGAATGAAAACAAAAACAAATCCGTCCTGGAAGTACAACCAACATGCTCCTTAGGAGTGATGATGGTGCAACTTCTCATGCACACTTAGGACACGTGACCAAGAGAGGCCAGTCCCTAGAAAAGGACGCATGCTCGGTAAGGCGAAGAACAGAAAGAGGAAGATCCTTAATGCAACAGACCCACACAGTGGTCGTGGGGATGGCCCGGGACTGGGTGATGCTTCCATCGGCTGTGCGTGGGTCGCCGGGAGTCAGTGACCGTGGCACCTGACACCGAGCGGCCCCTGCTTCGCATTCTTACCTTCCATCAGATGTTCTAATTCGGGCAAATAAGGTACTTGGTTTTAGCTTTCTTAAAGTTAACCACCTTTATCTAATTATTAACTATATGACTTTTAAATGTTTGTTCAAATATTTCTATAAATGTTCAAATTGTCTTACAGCAGCACTACCAGACATCCACACTCAAATACTCATGTATATATTCTGAATAGGAATTAGTTCTATGTTACTATCTCTCCAGTTTGTGCTCGTTTATTCACTCGGTATAATGTCCTTTGATGTAAATTCCTTAATCTTTATGTGGTTGAATTTATCGGTCACTTCCTTCAGAAAACTATTCCTCTAACAAAGACATTCTGTCCGTTAAGAATTAATTTTTGTGTATGGACTCAGGCAGAGTCCAATTTCCAATTCGTTCTTCCTATATGTATAAACACTTCCCCACTGCTCTGTAAGATTTCTCTCATTTATACATGGTTCACATAAGCCTGGATCTCCACCTGTCCTGGTCTTGATATCTGCAAGGGCAAGTCATTAAAAAGTGTTTGCTTAAAAAACACCAACTTTAAGTAAGCACGGGAAGTGGCCACCCCAAACTAAACAAAAGCTCTCTGCCTGGCCCCTGCAGCGATTCTGTCAGCTGCAGAGCAGTGCAGTTACCACATTACACACAGAATCTTCCAGACCGTGGTACAAGAGGGCTCCAGAAGGCTGGGGGAACTTGTCCTTGATTTTGTAATTCCATTTTCCTTTGGGGTGTTTGAAGCCCCCTCATATAGCTTTGTATTTGCTTTATTAGTAGTATTATTTTTGCAAAGCTGAAAAATGGTACCACTTGCCCATCTACTACAGGGACGGCTACAAAAGAGAGGAACTCTTTGTCAGTTCCTATTCAACACCATGCGAAATCAGCCTGTGAAGTAACCAGTCTGTGGTATCCTCCCCAAAGTCCCACGATGACAGTACGTGAATAAGGTGTTTAAACTACCTTTGCTCTATATGAATCAACAGAAGAAACACAAAAGTCCTAACATGAGTATATTACAAAAAAAGGTAAATAGGTAAAAACCAATAATGTACAATGAAAGAAAAATAATATACAACAGTAAGAAAACACTTTTTAACCTGCAAATTAAAGGCGGGAGGGGAACTATTAAAATGACAGTGTAAGGAGTTGCTAAGTTATTCAATCAGAATGGAGAATACAGATCAATACGTTAGCAACACACACACGGAATTTTTTTTTTTACACATATGGATCTTAAAGCAATCATAAACTTTGATTCATTAGTTTTACTTAGGGAAACCTGGACTAAGTAAAACTGTACATGAGAGTACATAAAACTTCACTGCCAAGTTATGATGATGAAATATTAGGGGGAAACCATATTGTTAAACTCCCATAAGGAATACGATACATTTTGTAAAATGATGCTTAGAAACTACAGACACAGGAAATGTGAAAGTTACTTTTCTTAAGAGTATAAAGTTTTGTTCATCATATGACCAACTTTTACATGAAAAAAATACACCGAAAGAATGGTTGGTTGACACTGAAGGATGAGCCTTTTCAAAATAGTTACTGGAAGATGCCCTTCAGTAAGCTGAAGAGCAAAGGGAGAAAGAGGAAGACCTGGCAGTCATGCAATCCAAAATAAAACAGATGAAAAGACCAGGCAAGACAGGGTTGGAGGAGATTTTCAGACAAGAAGTGTGAAGCAGGCCTAGAGCTACCAGCCCAGCTTGGGGTTGATCAGAAACTCTGGAAGATGTGTCTCTGTTGGGATGAAATACAGACACTACTTGATGTGTTTCACCTGCTGTGAAGAAAGTCAGACAATTAGAGGAGAAGAGGTTGGGGATAACGCAAAGCGAACAAAACAAAACCCCCAACTGCCAAGACTGCTAGCCATGGAAGGAAAGGCAACCATATTCACACTTAGCTGGCTAGAGTCAACACACTGGACCACCATCTAAAAATGCTCCTGAGAAAGACAGACTGGGGAGGGGGACGGGGGGGGGAGGGGGGAATGAGGACCTAATGCCACGGGCTTAAGTGGAGAGGAAATGTTTTGAGAATG